AATAGAAATTTCAATCTACTTCCTCATCAAAAAACAGAATATAAGGGCAAAGTTTAGGTTCATTTTAAATCTTTTTTTCCTGACTCAAGCTACAATACTCTAACAATAGGACAAACAGTGAAGTGGGGGGACAAGGACCTCCAATTCTTTCAGAAGCAAACTAAATCACAAACCAGCCGATGTTTTATTATTAAACATATGCACCTAAATAGATTGTGCAAGGTGTGTATTATGCGCATGGAATTCAACAAAAGATCATTATTAGAAATATGTGAAAACATAGAATTTTCAATACATTTCATGGGCTCCTAAATCAAAGTTCTTTCCACTACACTGTGTTACATCTATTTGACATGTGTGCTCACATGAGATGAAATGCTTCAAAAACTTGATAATAAAAAATAATATAGTATGGAGAAAAGTGTTTGTCAGATGCTTTTATGAATTAAGGTAAATTCCAAAACCAAAAGTTCATCAAAATTATTAAACTTTACTAACTAGAAAACACATCGAGCTACATAAATACCACCATCAACTCAGTATTTACCATAATTGTGTTCTTATGAAACTGGCAAATTCCATGTGCCAGAGCCAGTTGAGATATTGGACGGGAAGAGAGAAGGAAATTACCCAAGACCCCAGAGAAGGAAGGAAGCTGCCCAAGTCAGAGAAAAGGCAGTCAGGAATTTCTGACAGTCTGATCAAGGGAGTACACAAGCACAGGAAAAAGAATAAGTAAAAAAACAGTAATAGCCACTGCTAAATACATGCTTACATGGTAACTACTGGACCTACTCCATCATTTAACAATTATTCAAGATGGATGATAAGCCACAGAGCTAATGAATCCAGAACTGATAATATTGAGCATTTCTGTAAGGTGACAAAACCCCTGATTTTAACTCTAAGCTATATAGCAACATGAAAAATAGATCTCTGAAGCAAGAGGAGACACACAGAGTAGGGTCTAGACAGAACCATGTATAACCATATATAACCCAGGGAGAATAGAAGAAATAACAGAAGTAAGGATGTACACGCACAGAAGTCCAGACACAGCTGGGCAAAAAGGATGTGAGAGACATTAGGTGTGCTGTCCTCCTTGTTGCATGGACACTATCTCCACCTCCTTGAGAGATCTTAAAGCTTCTGTGAGCAGCTACTAAGATACACAAGTGTTAACATACTTTGAATAAGAAAAGCTAAGCAGCATTCAATGAAAAATGTGGGATTGTGTGTGTGTGTGTGTGTGTGTGTGTGTGTGTGGTACTAAGAAATGAACTAAGGGCCTTTACACTAAGCTACATCCCCAGGCCTTTTTTATTTTGAGAGGGTCTTACTAAGTTGCCCAGGCTGGGCTAAAATATGCAATGCTCCTTCCTCAGTTTCCCAGAATGCTAGAAATTATGTATATATTGGCTCTAAATATTTGTCTCCTTACACATTCTTAATTAAATATTCTTTTAGGTGAAATATTTCTGAATGATTTTGGTTATTTCACTCAGAGTCACAACAAGCAACTCTAGAGGGAACCAAAAGTTCATAAAGGAGGTAATGTTTTTCCAGTCTTATGTTATACATCTCTTCTTATTTTGTTATCCGTGATTTTCATGATTCGCTTTGTCACAAAAACTGTTGAGAACTTCATGATGGGTTTCCTTTACCTTTATGGAAACCATGCATTTATTCAAAAACTAAAGAATAAAAACAAAGCAGGATTGCTTTGTTAAGAACTTAAGGTCTTTATTAAGGACTTAATCACAAAATTCAATAGCATGATTCTAAATAGAAAACTTTATCATTATCAAGTGTACTTTTACTGCTATGTGCACATGAGAGCATACAGAACATAAAATAGAATCTGTATTATTCCACTTATTGAATGACATAAAAGAATTTAGGAAAAATTGGGTTTTAAAAAAAAAAGAACAAGGCTTTATAAATAAAGTTTATCATGAAGTGGGGAATCGGATAATACACAAGGTTCTTTTTGATGCACTGTCAATTTGTCAGGAAAGCAATAATTTCATGAAAATTAGCACTTCTTTGCTGACACATCAGCCTAGAAAAAGAGATCTACATTTTAGCAAATCTACTGCAGACAATGTATTAAATTGGAAATGTCACTGTGCTTGACAAAAGGATTTGCCATAGAATCTCATGATGTTTTTAAAGGAGACATTGTGACATACAAGGAAAGATGACATGGATGTCTACAGAGTCCAAATACTTGATTCCTACAAGTGCCAGCACCATCCAGTCATCACATGACCAGACATGGTATTTAGCCAGTACACATTCATATGATTAAAATAGTCACTGACGTGGAAAATAGTGCCCCTCCTAGAGACAGTCACTGTCCTAAGTCCCCAAAGTACTCCCTAACCTGCCGGGTGCTCCTAGACACCCTGAAAATTGCTCAGACCACCTGTACATCCAGCGTTGTGGCCACTCTGACCAACTGGTATCTGTGTGAAAGCAGTTGTAAAACATTTTGAATATCACTCCTGGGTATAATCAAAACTTCTGAGCAATCTAATAGAAAACCTCTTCCTAAAATATAGCATTCCCTTTCCCTATTGGATGGTAGTTTCTTCCTAAAAGATACTAGTAACAAAAAGTAAGATTCAGTTCCACAAAATGTATTTCCTTCCTATAGCAGATTTCTCTCAAATTTATACATCCTAGTCAATGGCTTATGGTAGGTATGTTGGGTTCTATAAAATGGTGTTCCACATATTGCATCAATTACCACTTTAATTCTGAGAGAAACTTTCTAGAGAACAATTCAAAGTGAAATCCATCTAAATAAAAATATTTGAGTGGAAGGGACCCAGACAGTCTAATGTAAACAATCTTAAAAACACACATCTTAAAATAGTATTTTAAATTATTTCCTATATACAGAATATTTAGAGCTTGCCTAGACCAACCTCATGATTTGGGGGGAATGAAAAGATACATGTGCACCCATGTTCATAGCAGCACAATTCATGATAGCTAAAACTTGGAAGCAGTCCAATTGCTCATCAAGTGGAGACTGGATAAAGAAGATGTGGGTTTTTTTATAAAATGGAGTACTACTCAGCCATAAAGAACGAGAAACTAGAGACATTTATAGCTAAATGGATGCATATTGAGGCGATACTCTTAAGTGAAATAAATAGGACACACCTGTAAACACGGAATAGTTTCTCTAGTGTGAGAAAATGAAAGTGTAAACAAGGATGAAAAGGTATAATAGATAATGTGAAATAGGAAGAAAAGGGGCAAAGGCGAAGTGGGAGGAGTAGGGGAAAAGAAAGAAGGGAATGGAATTAACATGAGAAAATGGAAACAAAGTCTTTGTAAATAGGGAAGGGTGGAGGGGTTGAAGGGAGTGCAGGGCAGTTGGGAAAAAATAAGAACCAAGATGGATTATGTAAAGGTGCAAATTTCCAATGATGAATGTCATTATATTGTATACCTTAAATGTACCAAGAAAATTAATTTTTGAAAAAGAAAAGATATTTCTATAGTTGTTAAATTTAGAAAAAGTGAGTTAGCAATATAAAATTTAAGTTTAGGGCAATTTGGGTAAATTGACATCTACAAAGACAGGCGATATACCAATACACATTTTTTTCAGCTACTAATGCAAAAGAAAATTTCTTTTTCTCTATAAAGACAGATTTGAATTTCAAAATTGATAGGCCTCACTGATATTTAAAGATCAGGAGAGATCATTCTAAATAAAATTTAACTACTTGAATTGAGCAATTTTTACCCTTTCTTCATTTAAACCTACCCATAAATATTTGCAGAAGTGTACAGAAATTTTACAAGAAGCTTTATATATTTTAATACAGTAATATCAACTTTGTTTTAACCAAAAATGAATTTGAAATATTAAAAATCACAATTTTGGAGCTTTGTAAAATAAACTTTTAGGCTAATATCAAACAAAAGTCATTGAAATTTGCCCTCCACATTGAGTATGTTAAAATTTTAAAGGTTTTGAGAATTAATGCAAAAATCAATTAAAATTCTAACCTATCTGACACTGAAATTTTAAAAACAAGAGGGCGGAAAAAATATCAATTGACTACTCATTTATATGAAAGTTATTATTGTCATTTTAATCTCTTACCCAAACTGGAACAATGGTATAATAATAATATTTAATAATATTTAAGCAAAAGAAAACTTTGGTTGTATTCCTGAAAATATATTTAATTAAGCTATACAGAACTGCAAAAATTAAAGTACAAGAAAAGGAAACAAAACTTTGGCCATTTGTCCTCCTGCTTAATCTCAGACTTTAATGAACTGAGCTAGACATAGGTAATATATCAGAAATCAGTAATAGCATGTCTCATGGAAAATAACTAACATAGCCAAATAGGCTTTCAAAGAAAAATATCTACCTTGGCAGACAGAAAAAGAATTTCAATTTTCAAGAGAAAATGATTAAGTGTTTTCAGAATTACAACTGACTAATGCCATATCACCATAATTTTGTTACCTAAAATATATAACAGTGCCATGAAATATTACTTGCCATAGAGAAGCTTAGAACATAGTCACATGGTTAGAGGCATTTAAAAATCAAATAAAGTCAATGACAAATAGCCATGCACAAAGCAATTAGTCAAAACAGTAACAATAACAGCTCTGAGAATGTGAGGACACACATAAATGTCCACAGAAAGGCTCTCTTATCAGCCAGACAGAAGTATGAGGAGCCATGACACAGACCACAACAAGGTTGGATTTTTTTTTTAATCTTTTCAGACACCATAGGTCTGCTAGATAAAACAAAAAAAGTCAAATCTAAAGAAATCACAAGTAAAAGCCATTGACTTGTTACAGCAAAAAGATCTCCAACACCTGTGGAAGCAAACATTTATACTGCAGCTGAGCTCACCACAACACTGCAAGTCTACATAAACTGGGTACTTGCCCCTTCCGATTTCTCCACTGTGTTGGCCAACATCTCCTGCAGGGCCCGCACTGAGAGGGACTGCTCCAGCACAAAGGTGCAGATGGACAGGTCTGGGGGAACATTCTGTGCAGGAAGAGGAAGAGCCATCAGTATGTCATCTTCATCTGGCATCCAGGCTAGCTTACCTTCATGTACACCAATTCCTCCTACAGAGTCCAAGGACTTGGCAGTACCCTATAGTCAACTCCCCACTGTTAAGAGTCACACTCATTACCACTTGCATCTCAAACATTTTTAAACTCACAGATAACAACAGCTGCCAGTTATGAGCACTCATTCTGACATGCACTGCACCTGGAGCTTCATCCACAACTCTGTGGTCATCTGCAGTATGGATTTCACTATCATCATATGGAGGAGCAAACACAGAAATTAAGTTACTTTTCCAAAGTCCCGGAGTTACAAAATTTGCAAGCCAGATTTCTCCAGTGCTCGCCTACTCATTTCTAACCTACCAAGCAGACTGCTGATTAAGATAATAGTAATAATAAAGGAAAGAAATAATGCCTCCCTTTAGTCAATATTGTAGTTAATTAAATATAAAATTGAATTAATGTATAATATGCATTTCACAAGCTCTTCTTTATGCACAAAGATAAAATTACTTTATCTTCCTTTTGTTGCACATTTTTTGTTGTTCTGGTTGTTTTGCTTCTTTCTCAGGGGGCAGTAATTAAGCTCTCGCTCTGCACATACACGTGTAGCTTTATTTTCTCATCATCCATTCTTTTTCCATCCTCCTTCTTTCTCTTACGCCTCCACTCCAGTCACTACTCCATAATTTTTGAAAATCTCAAAAGGTCATTACTAAAGAGGGAAAGGAACCAGAGTACAAGCTGATTGGCAAGGGAAAGCTAACTGCACATTCTTGAACATGTACATTTCAGTTTGAGAGAAGCAGGATTCAGTACGCATCTGGTCCAGACAGGTATTGACAGGTGCTCAAAGGAGATGTCCATGAAAAAAAAGCATTACAAATACATTAAACCAAAATCTAAGGAAGATTATGTCTTCTTTAAAAAAGAACATTAGGAAGATAAATATCTGAAACTGATATAATACATCAAAGCTACAGTTAATAATATTTTAAGTACATATTACTCAAACCACAGCCATTGGAATGACTTTTTTATCATTACCAAAGAGTGGTGCTTTCTGGTTTCAAGGAAAGACTAAATACTAGGGTTTCAGAATTAATATTAAAAGTATTTCATGAGTAAATGAAAGATACAATCAGGCCACAAGGCTTATTCAACCCCATAAGCCTCGCAGCCACCAATATGTTACTTATTTTTTTAATGAACTTTCTTTCTCTCAATTCCTCCTTCCTGCACTCATGAGCCTCTGTGCCCCGACATTAATCAATTTCCACTCCTCCTTGGACAAGCTCATCCAATAGCCAGGGATGCTCTCAAATCAGCCTGGCTACTGCTGTTACACTCTGCAGCGGGCCAGAGAAGGGCATTCTTTCCCAAATCCAAGGGTAAAAGACTGGAAGCCAGGAAAGGGAATATTCCACTGTGAATTTAGGAATGAATGCTCTTTCTTAAATTTAATTTCCTACGTTATAACTATATTGATTACTCTCTCTTCTCTTCAGATGAAGACAAATGCTACCGAGTTAAAAGAAATCTGTTAATGGAAGTGATCATTTCATTCATATTGCCACCAGATACACTCTGACAACCAGAACTGGCCGGGTACTATGCTATTAACATATTCTTTCGGGCTTGAACCACTGGTGGTACATGCATGATTGTCCCATGTCACCTGATGAGACATCACCTCATCTGTACCACCAGTGGCTCAGAGCCGCCCAGCAGTGAGACACACAAATTATGGCTCCATCATGATCATGTTAAATGGTGAGTTGGTGAACTGACACAAAGTTAATATTTTGATGTATAGCATTTGCCCATTTTTGTGACATAAATACTTCAATCACTGCTGAGTTCAATGTATCAAAGTTTACAAATCAGTCACAACAATCCAAAATATCTAACAGTCAACTCTCAATATCCGCGAGAACTATTTCTACCAAAACATTGTGCTGATTTCAGACCAGTATCCATTAATTGCTTTAGAATCAGCGTATCATAAAATATAGGAGCATGTATTCTATAAACAGAACATCTGAACAAGAATTCTGGCCTCACAATTTACCTGCTTTTAACTATTATGATCTTTGGCTTCCTTCCTTGAAAAACAGGAAAATTGTTACATCATTCTGATATGGCTGTGGTGAAAAACAAATGAGATAGTATATGTAAAGAATTTATCACAGTGTCAAGAACATAGCAAGGACTTAAAATAAGTGAGCCTTTTTCACTTCTCTTCATATTGTGAATTCTCTCTATTTGTGCATTTATGAAGTACTTGTTCATTTCTTAAAACTAGTTCTTACAGATTCCCATTTGGACAAGCAGGGTTTGAAAATATAAATCTGTAACTACATATCTGTTCATAACATCCAAAATGTTCTATTTTTTCATTTTTATTAGTACACGTTAGCCATACATAATGATTACATTTATTGTGGGAAGTAGGTACATGTACTTCTTCTAACTATTTTTATTTCCTCTCTTCTCTTTACCAATTTCTCCATCTCTAGATCTTCTTCCTCTTCCTATTTGCAAAAGATCTTATTACCTGTTTCCTATTGCCTGTCTTTTATTTTGCTCTTTAAATTATTTATACTTTGTGTTTCTTATATAAGAGAAGATACGCAATATTTAACTTTGTGTGTCCGATTTAATTTGTTTAATTTCATGGCTTCATGGTGCATCCATTTTCCTAAAATTAACTCAAATTTATCTTTCTGGCATCCTCGTACTAAGTTGTGTACCTGCAAGAGTTAAAGAAATCTAATAGTTTCAAGAAAGGGCATTGTTCCATTAAAAATTTATTTTCTGGGTCTATTTACACTGTTTTATACCTCACTTTGATTGAAATGTTTACATATGGTTTGCTATAATAACATGTTATTTTACAGATCCTGGAAAACTACATGGATTTGAAATGAATTAATCTTGCCAAGTGAACTTCATTTCTTCACAGTGACAGACCTGTTACAAATATTCTTCCAGACAGTGAGAGCAGAAAGAAGCATCCCAGCTGTCTTCAAGGGTAATTCTCTGTCTCTATGGACTCAAGCCATTTTCTTTTGTATACCTCCTCAGACCACCTTGACATTTTTATAGTTACATCCACTACATCACTGACCCTGGGCCTTTCTTCTTTTTTCTAAAACCAAATCTTAATCACTGGGAAAAATAAGGAGTCTCATTCATTAACCAAAAACCACCTATATAACCCTAGACCAAGTGGCTCCCAATACTAGCTTGGTACAGCAGAGAAGATGTAACACTCTACAAACATCTGTGGTGGAAGTTGCAACTCACAAGAATTGGCAAGACTGTCAACTTTTCCGTACTTTTGATCTTTTTACTCAACTCTGATTACTGAGTTAATTTTTAGAGAAGTTCAGTTTGAAAGAACTTTGCTTACTTTTACTATGAGTGTACCCTCAAACTTAAAGGAAACCTTTATATAGTATGCTTTCTATTACTGGTGTTTCAAAATACTTAGATCATATCCGAACATAAAACCCAAAACTACAACCCAGAATGCATACCTGCCTCTCATACCACACATAAAATTTACTTGCCCTGCAAAATTAAATCATAAAAAGTGATCCAGTCTGTCTGTCTAGACTGCCCAGAACAGTTCCCAAAGTAAACAGACAGGAAGTTACTAATGTTTTTCATACAGAGACACCACCAATTTCATCAAGGTGTTGTACTTTGGCAAAAGTAACAAGCTTTCAGATAGCAGCACAGCTATGTGCATTTCTTCTTTTTAAAATAAAAACTGGAAAGTGTAAATAAGGATGAAAATGATTAAAATGAATAATTGATAATTTGAAATAAGAAAAGGTCCAACGGTTTGGGGATGGTGGGAGGGGAAGGGGAAAGGGAAGAAGGGAAAGGAAAAATTATGAGAAAAAAAAAGATAGAATCAAACTCTGTGTAAATAGGGAAGAGTGGAGGGTGAAGGGTGCACAGGTAATGGGAGAAAAATAAGAACAAAGATACATCATGTTCTGGTACAAACACCCAATGATAAATGTAAATGTATTTTATACCTAAAATGTACCAATAAATATATATATAAAAATAAAAATAAATAAAATAAAATAAAAACTGGTCACACTTCTCTTTAGCAAATGAGTGTCATATAACCCTAGAGGGAAAAATTCTCCAGCATAACCACAAAGCAGCATCTGGTTTGTAGGCACTGTGGCAACCATATGAAATCAATTAAGCTTCCAACTCAGGTATCAATCAAACCATTTGGCTTCCACAGATGCATCTGCCTAACTCACTTAAAAACCTACAGACATGTCATTACCTTAACTAAACTAACTGAATTTAAGACTATGTAAGTGACATTAAACCATCTCACCTGTTAACACTGTGATAAACTATTCCACTGTAACATTCTGGGGTCTTGGCTCATAGATTTCTTTTACTCCCTCTGCCCAAAAGACCCATCTCCATGTCTTCACCTATGGAAATGCTTTCATATTTTTAAATCACATATAAATAAAATCATATTTGAAAACACTTTCCTTGTAGAGAAGGCAAGTGATTTACAAATTTGAAAATTCTCTTTCCAACTAATTATACTCACATTCATTCCCACGAGTGGCCACTGTGCTTTTTGGTGTATCTTTTCCAAGCCTTTTTCCCTACACATTTACACACATACACACATGCTTATATAGAAATACATAGATTGGCTTTTCCCATTAATGGGCTCACTCTGTACAAATTACAATTCTTACATTTACTAATAAATCCTGGCATTACTGCTGCATTAAATATGACTGCTACAAGATATAAATATGTCACATTTCCCCTGAAGATTGAGGCAAGTAGCCGGGGATTTAGCTCAGTGGTTCCAGTGCCTGCCTCGAAAGTGCAAGGTCCAGAGTTCGATCCCCCATACCAAAAAACAAAACAAGATTGGGCCAAGTGCCCTCACTTGCCTACGATTATTTA